GACAGCAGGCGAGTCGAGCTTCGGTTCTGCCCCGCTTCGGGTCTTGCGGTCCCGAAGCTTCCCCAAAAGCCGTCCAGCGCATGATCCGCATGACCAATGAAAATGCGGTTTTTTAGTATTGAAATCCAGAATGCTTGCTTTTATGGGAGCCCCCTGCAGCAGGGGCACTCTTCCTCTTAGCGTTCGAAAGTAAGTAAAAAGCAAGAAAGCCCCCCTTGACGGGGGTTTGGGAGGTGAACCCTAAACCCTAGTGAGAACAGTTTGAGTGGTTGGGGTGGGACTACATGCCAACGCAAGCGGGCGGCCTGGGTGCTTTTAGCAATTTTAACACCAGCGAGCTTCCCTTCTACTAGCCCTAAACCCTAAACCCTAAACGTTAAACCCTAAACCCTAAACCCTAAACCCTAAAACCTAAAACCTAAAACCTAAAACCTAAAACCTAAAACCTAAAACCTAAAACCTAAAACCTAAACCTTAAGCCCTAAACCCTAAACGTGAAACGGAAAAATAAGAAAAAAACTGAAAAAATATAGAAAACAATCCAAGCCCCTTTTTTAGGGGTTTAGGTCCCTTGTAAGCCGCCTTAACCCAAGAAGGGCACCATTTTTCATTCCTAGGTTAATTACTCTTGGGTCTAGCCAAAAGCCCTTGCGTGAAGCGAAGGTATGATGCGGACGTTGTTTGTGCAGGGGGCCTCAGGGCATGAATCGTTTATGCTTCATTCTGGTCGCGTGCGCTTCGCTGCATGAGAGTCAGGTTTAGCGCGTAGTTTAGGGTTTAGGGGTCAGGGTTCAGGGTTTAGGGTTTAGGGTTTAGGGTTTGGTCTTGAGGGTTAGGGTTGAGGGGGGGAATTTCCGCCTGGAGCTGTTTATCTCTTTGGGGTTTTTAGAAGCTCACCCATCTCAGCTTTTCGAAGCTTACCTTATCTAGGTCTCTGCCGAGTTCTTCGGGGTTTCTGCAGGTTTCTCGACGCCATGTTTGCGCCCTAAACCCCCTAAACCGCAAACCCTAAACGTGCGCTTCTACTTAGTAGCTGAACGAGTACACTTTAAACTTTTTGGGATACTATACCCACCTATAGAACTGAAAGAGTACATTTTTCGGGCTTGTGAAACCCAAAACCCTGAAATCTAAACCCCAAACCCTAAACCCTGAACCCGGGCTTCAGATCGGCGAGATCCACGACTCGGAGGCAGACCACGCGATGCAGCGCCTCATCATTGACGCACTGACGCAACCCGTCAGGCAGTTTCGAGCGTAAGGCTTACCCTAAACCCTAAAGCCTGAACCCAACAAATGCCTAAACCCGAATTCCTAAAAGTCTAAATCCCAACGCCTGCTTGGGGCGTGGCCTTGGGAAGTGCTCGGGTGCTTACAGAGACGCCTGGCAAGCGTTGAGATGAGGACACTAGACTCGAAAACCACCCCGCTACACCCGGAATCCCTTAGACTCCAAACCCTAGGCTCTTGTAGGGTTTAGGGTTCATAGAGGGTTTGTATATGGATTAAGGTTCTTGTAGGGTTTAGGGTTCATATAGGGTTTGTATTATGGTTTAAGGTTCTTGTAGGGTTTAGGGGTTATAGGGTTTGTATGTGGTTTAAGGTTCTTGTAGGGTTCAGGGTTTATATAGGGTTTGTATATGGCTTAAGGTTCCCATACGGTTTAGGGTTTATGCAGGGTTGAAATAGGCTTACTCTAGACGCTAGAGTCTGACTAGACCCGAAGGGATTGATCGGCCTGAGGCTCTTGGGGAGCTCATAGGTCAGCCGGAGACCCAAGCAACCGCTAAACCCTCAACCCGAAGCCCTATACCTTGAACCCTAAACCCGAAGCCAAGCCCTAAACCCTATGTCCTAAACCCTCAACCCTTAGCCCTAAGCCCTAAACCCTAAACCCTACCCCCCCCCCCCTCTTCAGAGAACGACCTATCGACATCCCAGACTTCACTATATTGAGAATGTGAGGCCCAGCAAGGAGCCAAAACCCGAGTTACAATCACCACTCAGGCTTGCGTTTTTGTTATACTCCTCACAACAACCGGAGAAGGCCAAAACAAGTCCCTGAACAAGCTTACAGCAAACCCTGGATCCTACCTGAAGGCTCCTAATGCAGTTGCTTTGTGGGTTACGTTATAGGGGTGGATAGTATAACTAATTACCCCAAGAAGGTACTGCACAGGGGCCTATGTACACCCTAATTACTAGACCCTACACCCTAAACCCTAAACCCTAAACCCTAAACCCTAAACCCCAGGTACGCGCTCTTTCTGTCCTTGCGGAGCTCTGAGGGCGTCGACCCAACGGAACCGAAGGGGCGAACTCCACAGACGCCTTGGCGTGGGTTGAGGGCGCGCAGGGTCTAGGGTTTAGGGTTTCATGAGGGTTAGGGTGCTAAGGCCTGAAAGCCCTTAGAAGGATTTGAAGGCTTTCAGTTAGGGGTTTCGTTGGCGGCTCAGTGGGCTTTCGGGCATTGTGCTGAGGTTGAAAGGGTCTAGGGTTTAGGGTTTGGGAGTTTGGGAGTTTAGGGTTTAGGGTTTAGGGTTTCGGGTTTAGGTTGCAAGGATGTTTGGGATTGGTCGGGGCTGGTCGGGCTTTCGAGTTCTTTCTGGCTCTTGCGAACGTTTAGGCTTGCGTACAGTGTTTGGTAGGGTTGAGAGTTTGGTAGGGTGGCTGACTTCAGGGATCATAGAATTTGTAGGGGGTTGCAGTGTGCTTTTAATTAAGGTTCATAGAGTTTAGGGTTTAGGGTTAGGGCCACACAGGATGTAAAGAGTCTAGGCCTTTCGCGCCTTGGTTTTTCGCTCCGCGGAGCTTGTGGCGGGCCAGTTTCGGTTGTGTTTTTTTTGGCGGTCTGAGGTGTAGTACCCTAAACCCTAAACCCTAAACCCTGAATTCAACCCCTAAACCCTAAGCCCTAAACCTTAAAACCCTCGTTCGGAGCCCTACCCGTGGACAACATGGCCTTCATGGGTCCTCTGTCTCCAGACGGGTTGAGGGTATTTGGAGGTTCCTGGTACTTACTAGCCAAGTATGACTGTACTTACAGGGTTCAGGGTTTAGGGTTTAGGGTTTTAGGGTGTAGGGTTTAGGGTTTAGGTTGGGGGTTTAGGGTGTAGGGTTTAGGGTTTAGGTTGGGGGTTTAGGGTTTAGGGTTCAGGGTTTAGGGTTTAGGGTTTTAGGGTGTAGGGTTTAGGGTTTTAGGGTGTAGGGTTTAGGGTTTTAGGGTGTAGGGTTTAGGGTTTAGGGTTTTAGGGTGTAGGGTTTAGGGTTTACGCTGGTGGTTTAGGGTTTAGGGTTTAGGATTTAGGGTTTAGGGTTCAGGGTTTACTGCGCTGCATCCTAGCGCCTGGAAACCATGGCGGCCTCGTCGTCTACGACCTTCGAGGCCTGGCGTCAGCATATGCGAAAAACTCGCAGCTGGAGCTGTCGGAGGCCCTAGCCCCTGCCAATATCTGGCCCTGGGTCCCGACGCAGGCCGAGGTGGTTTCGGCACTCTCGAGAGCTACCACGGAAGGGGGCGTCGGCGACGTGCAGGGTGGTGAGCTCCATACCCCTACGGGGCCTGGGGCCCCTTCCATGAAAGAAATCTGACAGATCGCATGGATGCCTCCTGCCCGCCTGCACAAGGGTGTAGGGTTTAGGGCTAAGTGTACTTATAGTTGTACTTACCACCCTATTAGGGCACTTAGGGGGCTTATAAGTGGGTTATGGGTACGGTTGTAGTTGGTTAAGAAGTACCATGAAGCTCCAAGTATAGGGTTCAAGGATTGAGGGTGTAGACACCCGACACCAAAGCACCCACAAAGTCTGAAACTCTATGCTTTAGTGACAATAGTGACATTATGTGTACATATATGAATATGTGTACATATATTATTCAACAAGACAAGCCCAAGAACAAGCCCATACAATCCTACAGAGAACCCTGCATAAGACCTACTACTATCAGTTTAAGCGCTGGGCTTTGGGATGTTTCCCCTCATACTAACAGTCCTTAATCGGGATTATGACATGGGTACTTTAATCCCTATAAGGGACTGTTAGTATAAGGGGGAACATCCCAAAGTTCAGGGTTTCCAGAATCAACCCCCTGAACCCCTAAATTTTAAAAACCCTACATCTTAACCCTACTGTCACTTTAAGCACTGGGCTAACGGAGTGGGAGAGCAAAGGAATCTGTCGCCGCAGAGGCTTGCGGTGGGAGTTGCGCCTCGGCTTCGGACTTTTAGGGTTTAGAGTTTCGGGTGTAGGGTGTAGGGTTTTAGGGTTTATACTACTGTTTGCTTAAGAACCCCCCAAAAGGGCTGTTAAACAATAAATAGCGGTATAGTGTTTCGTTGTAGGTGTTTTTTTAAAGGTTTTTAGAGCTTGTAGAGCGTACAGGGTTTATCGGGTGTGTAGGGACTTCATGGTTTATGTGTTTATGGGGCTTTGAGGGTTTAAAAAATGTTGTAAAAGTTCTAAAGGTTCTAAAACAAGTTGCAAGTTCTGCAAGTTCTAGAAGTTCTGAAAGTTCTCAGAGTTTTCAAAGCTCTAAAAGTTCAAAAAAATTGGAAAAGCTCGAAAAGTTCTACAAGTTCTAAACGCTGTCCAAGTTCTAGAAGTTCTGAAGGTTCGAAAAGCTCTAACAGTTCTAAACGTTCCAAAAGTCTAAAAGTTCTACAAGTCGTAAACGTACTAAAAGTTCTAAAAGCTCGAAACGATGTAAAAGTTCCAAAGGCTTTAAAAGTCCTAAAGGCTTTAAAAAGTCCTAGATTGAAAAAAGCTCTAGAACATTTAGACCTTTTCGAACTGCTGAACTTTTGGAACTTCTGGATTTAAAGTTTTACCAGCGCCAGAAGTTTTAAAAAGTTCCAAAGGTTCTACAACTCTACAAGTTGTAGTTGTAGATGCTCTAACAGTAAGCAGTGGGACCTTCACGGCAGCACCATAGTAGGCCAGATAGGCTTCCAAGCAGTGTCTGCTTAGCGCGCTTGAGCCATCCTCCAGTGCCGATCTTCATGTCTTTGCAAGCCGCCCTCAGTACCTTGTCGAAGGGTACCTCTGTCAACGTCTGGGGGACCTCGATGCCTCTGGCTATCTGGGTCTTGGATGTCATCGACTCCCAGACCAGGAAGAGCCAGCAAACGACACTGATGGAGAGCCTGTGCAGCAAGGCGGATGCCGTGACCGAAGAACTGTGGGCTGCTGTCTTCAAAAACCAAGCAAGGCCTAAACCCTAAACCCTAAGCCCTAAGCCCTAAACCCTGAACCGCAACAACGAGTGACGAGGCCGACCGCGAGGAGGAGGGAGACACACTGAGATCCTAGACACCCAAAACGCAACCAAGACATTCCCATGGACCCAAATGCAACTAGCGCGTGTTTTTTTTTTGAAGGTTTTCACGGTTTAGTGTTTATAGGGCTTAGCACTCATAGGGGTTTTAAGGTTTAGAGCAAGCCCAGCCGCGCTGTTGATTTCAGATGTTGATGGGTTTAGGTGTTTCGAATTTCGAGCCTAGAGGCAATGACCAAGGGCAATACAGTGCCTCCTTCTCTAACCCTCATGGCTATCAAGCTTGAATCCTCCAGTGTGCGAGTTAGCTAGGCGGTTATATTGGGCTGGTGCAGATCGCAGGCTTTTGCTCTCGCGCTATGAAAGCCCGCAACCCTTTATAGGATTCTTGGCTGTCTTGGCTGCAAGCCAACCCCCTTAAACCCCCTTAAACCCCAAACCCTAATCCTTAAGCGAGGGACATTTGCAGCACTTCTTTGCGCAGCCCTCTGAAATCCCGAAGCTCGTGAGGTTTAGGGTTTAGGGTTTGGGGTTTGGGGTTTAGGGTTTAGGGTTTAGGGTTTCGGGCCCAGGAGTACTTCACCCGGCAGCAGCAGCCCACGCTCGACAAGCTGATCTTTGACAAGAGCGAGGATGGTCCCGGTAGTTCGCCATCCAAGTTCCGGTGCCTTGGGTGCAAGAGCTGCTCTTTGACTTTTTGTAGGGTTAAGGGTTTAGGGTTTAGGGTTCAGGGTTTAGGGTTTAGGGTTTAGGGTTTAGGGTAAGTTATCTAGGTAGGCCCTTAGGACATTTCAAAAGTTGTCCCTTTTTGGGGGGTATTAAGAGAGTCATGTTCAGGAATCTTATTCAGAGGGTTTCAAGGGCCATACTAGTTTGGGCGTTTAGGGTGTTGAGGGTTTAGGGTGTTTAGGGCTTAGGGTGTTTCGGGAGATTGTAGGGTTGTTAAACCTTCTACCCTAAACCCTCCCAATTTGTGTGTCATAGCCATGCTATATCACTCTATCTATGCTGGGTAGCCGGTCGGGTGTTCAAGGCAGGGCCTCTTTTTGGGCACGTACTCCAAATCTCTACAGCAAAAAGGGGCCGCATGGTAATGGGGACCCCATGTCGGGATTTCGGTCAGCCAAAGCCTCGCTCTTTGTGTAGAGACTCAGGTAAAGAGTGTCTTTGTCCCTGTAAAGAACGCTCCCTAAACCCGAAACCCTAAACCCTAAACCCTTCACCCACCCCCTCCTAGCTTGTTGTGAATCTCCATGTTGCGCGTATATGTAGAAGCACGCATTAACTGCAGGGTGGTGTCAACGCCCTCCCGCCCCTCAGTGTGCAACCTGTAGCCTAAGCCCTTGTTGCTTTAGACCCTAAACCCTAAACCCTAAACCCTAAACCCTAAACCCTAAACCCTAATCCCTAAACCCTAAGCCCTAAGCCCTCAACTCTGAGTCCCAAACCCTAGGCCCTACACCCGAAACACCTAAACCCCAAACCCTCAACGTAAATGAAGAGCACTTTGCGGGCATTCTTGACCGAACCTTACGCGTGTTTGGTTGGGGTTGGGGGGGGGGGGGGGGGGGGGGGTTGGGGGGGTTTTGGTGTATGAAGTTTCGACTTGATCGCAGGGTTTCGGGTTCTAGGGTGTAGGGTTTACGGTCTTGGCAAGCACCTGAGAATGTTTTTTGTAGTTTTTGTTGAAAGCTGTTGCTTGCTGCTTCCTCTGAAGGTGTCGGCAACTGGAGGAACAAAAACAGCCCAAACCGAAGAAGATGTCGGGGTGGAAGGAGGGGTGATTGTAGCACAAGTGTAAAGTGTAAAGGGACCATAAGGGAATACTAGTAGTAAGTATTCCGACCCCTATATTGCCACATGCCCTAGGCTAAACCAAGCATCTTAAACACTTTAAGCTAAACTCGACCCCCCCCCCCCTAAACCTGAACTCTAAGCATCTCTAAACCCTAAACCTGAAAACCTAAACCCTAGACCCTGCCTCCGTCCTGCAGGGAAGCCTGCGATTGGGACCGGGTGTGGTCCTACGCCCAGGCCTCAGCGCAGTTGCCGAAACCTAAAATGTATGTCTGGGTGGTGCTTTGGGATAGTTTTGAGTTTTCTTCTTTCCTCGTGAGGGAACCTATTCATAAGTAACTTTCAAAGGGCTTAACGCAAAACTCAGATAAACGCCTAAGTCCGAAAACTAGGCCTGCGACCCTCGCACCCTAAACCCTGTTCAGGGTTTCGAGTTCACAGTTTGGGGTTCAGGTGTTTGGGGTTTAGGGTTTAGGGTTTAGGGTTTAGGGTTTAGGGTTTAGGGTTTAGGGTTTAGGGTTTAGGGTTCAGGGTTTAGGGTTAAGGGCACCGAAGTTGACAGGAAGCCATGGTTCTCAAAGACGGCAGGAAAGCAAGGGCTTGCAGGGCTTACCGGGGTCGTTTTTTGAGGTTTCGGGGTGTAGGTTTCGGGTTTAGGGTTTAGGATTTAGGGTTTAGGGTTTAGGGTTTCGAGGTTTTCGGCTTTGGTTACAGGTTGTAAGGTTCAGCTTAGGGGCGTTCTAGGGCTTAGAAAACCTGACAGTTTGCGTTGAGTAAGGACTGGGACATCTACGCCCCTCTGTTCCGATTCTGCCGCTCGGAAAGATTTTCAAGTACCTTAGACCCACAAGCCCTAAACCTAAGCCCTTCGCCCTTAAACCCTACACCCCAAAACCCGACCCGGACGGAATACCCGTACTGAGACCAGCAACAAATTCAACACAATGATGACAACAAGCCTTGTAGTAATCAGGGTTGTAAACACAACTACATCAGCACCGATCACAGAAACGGTGCCCTGAACCCTAAAACCCTAAACCCTAAATCCGGTTTTTGGTTTAGGGTTTGGGGTTTTGGGGTTTCCGGGTTTAGGGTTCTTAGGGTCTCTGAGTGTTTTTGGGGCTTCCAGTGTTTTTAGGGTTTACAGGTTTTAGTGTTTTTAGGGTGTTTAGGGTTTTTAGGGCTTTTGGGCGCTTTCAGAGAGTAACCCCAGGCCAGCTGAATCTGAACCGGGTCGTGGGCTTGAACCTCCCGCTCGAGGCGACGCTGATGGTCTCGAAAGGCACCGGGGGGAGGAGGAGCTAAAGAAGGAGCCCTGAAAAGGAACCTTCTGGGGGTTTCTATGGGGGTTATGTAGGGGTTACCTAGGTATATGGGACTATACAAGGGACATGTTTTTCATTATCTTATTTGTTTATTTATTTAATTATAAAAATATATATATATATATATAGGGGTTATATAAGGGAATAAGCGAAAGGGTCCCTCCTTATACCCCTTAACGGGGAGCACAGTGAGCGGGGCTTCAAGGCGTTCAGGATGACGTCAAGCTGTGAGCCCTCAACCCTAAACCCGAAACCCTAAACCTTAAACCCTAAACCCTAAACCCTAAACCCTAAACCCTAAACCCTATGAACCTTGAACCCTAAGCCCTAACTCCCCCTCCCCGTAAAACCCCTATTGGTTTCTGTCGTTCCTGGCGTGAGCGCGGGCCTTGAAACAGCTTTTCTTGTGCGAGGGTGTTGCCATGGGCATGGGAGTGCTATGTTCCAGGGTTGGAACCACGGGCCAGGGGGCCCCAAATATGGTCTACCCCAGAATGGGCCCTTATTGTGCACAGTTTGCATGAGGGTTATGTAGAAATATACATACATACACATATATATATATATATATACATCAAGGGACTCAGATTCAGAGCCCACACTTGGAACCCCAAACCCCAAACCCCAAACCCCAAACCCCAAACCCCCTAAACCCCAAACCCTAAACCCTAAACCCTAAACCCTAAACCCTAGACATGAGAATCCCGGGTTTGATGCAAGTGCTGGCTTGGTCCTGGAAGGGGGCGTGGCCTCCACTCCGGACTGGCTTCAGTCGAGACTGCCAACGCTGGCTGCCGGTCTGAACCGATTGTTTGCTTAAGAACCCCCCCAAGGGTTTTAGGGTTTAGGGTTTAGGGTTTGGGGTTTGGGGTTTAGGGTTTCGGGTTTAGGGTTTAGGGAGATGCACCCAAAGAAATCAAAGATAATCATCCCTGTATGACTCTTATCAGGGAGAATAGTTTTCTTGTGTTCTTTTTGGCAGGGGGTTTCAACTCGAACCTCAAATGGGTGGTTCTCCAAGTTCGGGAGGGTCCCCTTTATAAGGGTGCCGTATTGGATGAAGGACCCAAAAGGGGACCCTGACTTAGATAACTACCCAAAATGACACCGCAAACCCTAAACCCTACACTCGAAGCAGTAACCACCCCGAGGATTGCGAGGTTGGGTTTGTAAGGGCTTCGGTTTGGGGTTCAAGTTTGGGGGTTTGTTTCCTCTAGGGTTAAGTTGAGTTTGCATCGTTTGCCCCCCTTTGTCACCCGGAAGAGCTGCTGGTTTCTCCCGACTTACATCATTTGATGGCGGTAAACTCTGAAGCCCTACTAAACCCGAAAGGCAAGTGCACTACTTGCCCCACATGACCCGACCGCTCTGAACTGCAGACCGTTTTCCTGAAGGGCACGACCCTAAGGAAGAACAGACCAAGCTGCGACCCTCGCCCGAATAAGCCCTACTGGAAGAACCTGATACTTACCTGCCATTTTGGCAGGCTGCCTAAGATCCCTGTTAGGGTTTAGGGTTTAGGGTTTAGGGTTTAGGGTTTAGGGTTTAGGGTTTAGGGTTTAGGGTTTAGGGTTTAGGGTTTAGGGTTTAGGGTTTAGGGAACCCTAAACCCCAAGGACCTATCACAGCAACGCCATCGTCGGCGCTTTGAGGACATGCGGCTCGACCGCCACAGGGCAGTGTTGGAAGCAGTTCGAAAACCCCAAGCCCTAAGCCTTACACCCTCAACAGGGTTTAGGCCCTGTTTAGGGTTCAGGGTTTAAGTTCTCCAAACTTTGGGCATTTTTTGGGATGCCGTGGCTTGTCGGGTTTGGATAGTGGTGGATTGTTGGGCTGCCGCGGGTTCAGGATCTTGGGCTTTGGGATGTTTAGGGTTTGGGGTTGCTTTGGCGTTGGGCCAAACCCCAATAGTTAGTCCCCGAACCCATCCCGACATTCATAGCAGTCTTATGTATGCTGTACGCATGTACATTCTTATGTTAAACACATGACCAGAATCTAGAGAAGTGTACGCGCCAAGGTCCCCGTCGCCCCCCCCCCCCCCCGTGCACGCGAAATGCCGTGTTCACTTTCACCTTGTGGGTTAGCCAGCAGAGCCCTAAACCCTAAAGCGTAAACCCTAAACCCTAAACCCTTAACCCTCTCTGAAGGCTAGACCCGCTCTCATCTCAGAGACCCGAGTCCGAACTTTTATCACCCTATATAAGGGTCCATGTTCTTATTGAATATTTACCTGGGCCCCTAAAGCTACTGTATGGGAACCCATTTTAAGGCCCAAGTACGTACTACCCAGGTACATGGGCCCTTAGGGTTAAGAATCCAAAAACCCTAAACCCTAAACCCTAAACCCTAAACCCTAAACCCTTATCATCCCGAAGTACAACGACCAAATCCCGTATCTCCCTCCGCACCCCGGCTCCCCCAAGACTCACCCACCAGACTTCTGAGTGGAACTGTTTGAATGGGTTCAGGGTTTTGGGTTTAAGATTTCAGGGTCTAGGGGTTCAGGGGTTTAAGGGTTCGGGGTTTTAGGGGTTCAGGGATTCATGGGTTCAGGGTTTTGGGTTTAGGATTTTTGGGTCTAGGGGGTTGATCGATGGATATGGCCTAAATTAGAGAAACCCCCCTCAACCCCCACATTGCCAAGCGGCCCTGAGCCCTAAACCTTAAACCCTAAACCCTAAACCCTAAACCCTAAACCCTAAGCCCTAAACCCTAAACCCTAAACCCTAAACCCTTCAAGAAACTCCTTTCTTAGGCTGCGCATGCCACTGGAGCAAGCTGTCGAGAGGAGCGGCTCGATCCTGACATGGGCACTTCTCTGAGCAGTGGTCAGGCGGTTTAGGGTTTTGGGTTTAGGGGTTTAGGGTTTAGGTTCTAGGGCCGTTTAGGGTCTAGCAGTTTAGGGTTTAGGGTTTAGGGTCTAGGGTTTAGGGTTTAGCGTTTAGGGTTTGCAGTTTAGGGTTTAGGGTTTAGGGTTTAGGGTTTAGGGTTTAGGGTTTAGGGTCTAGGGTTTAGGGCTTAGCGTTTAGGGTTTGCAGTTTAGGGTTTAGGGTTTAGGGTTTAGGGTTTAGGGTTTAGGGTTTAGGGCCTAGGGTTTTAGGGTTTTAGGGTTTAGCAGCTCTGTGGTAAAGAAAAGGAATCCCAACGGGGACGGTAAGTTAAAGAGCTGACCACATTCCGTCTGTACAGCAGGGTTTAGGATTTAGGGTTGAGGGTTTAGGGTTTTAGGGTTTTAGGGTTTAGGGTTTAGGGTTTAGGGTTTGGGGTGGTTCCATTCTTGTTGCCAGGATGAGCTTGCCGACTGCTGGTTGGGCGCCACGGGAGGATCTGAAGCTTGGATCCTGTTTCTGTCCTCATTAAGCTAACCCTAACCCCTAAACCCTAAACTCTAAACCCTAAAACCCTAAAACCCTAAACCTAAACCCTAAAACCATAAAACCTAAACCCTAAACCCTTAAATCTAAACCCTAAACCCTAAACCCTAAACCCTAAACCCTAAACCCTAAACCCTAAACCCTAAACCCTAAACCCTAAGCCCTAAGCCCTAAGCCTAAACCTCAACCCACAACATAATTAAAACCCGTACCCTTCAACCCCAAACCCCAAACCCCAAACCCCAAACCCCAAACCCCAAACCCCAAATCCCAAACCCTAAACCCTAAACCCTAAACCCTAAACCCTAAACCCTAAACCCCAACCCTTACCCTAGGAGCTGAATGCAGCAAGCGTCGGGATTGGGCTTGGGTCCAGGCCTTGTGGTTCAGGCTTTAGGGTTTAGGGTTTATGGTTTGTGGTTCAGGGTTTAGGGTTTAGGGTTTAGGGTTTAGGGAGTTTTGTGGTGTTCCCATGGTGTAGCTGAGGCTAGTTTGGGATGTAGGTTGATCGGAACTATTGGCCGTTCTCTTGACCCTCCAGCACTGTGTGGCTCATGAGGTACGTAGTATAGGGTTCAGGCCTTAGGGTTTGCCGAAGCCTATAATCTTTCTAGAAGTGGCTAGGAATATTCTTGGGACCTGTGCATGAACCCCTAAACCCTAAACCCTAAACCCTATTCTCCTGACCTGCCAGCCATCCGAGGAGTTCGATGTATGAGGTGGGCCCCCAAGCCCTCAAACCCGACGCCCTCATGCCTAACCCCCGAAACTTGGGATGTTCCCCCTTATACTAACAGTCCTTTCTTAGGGATTATACTAGGGGGTACGATCATCCCTATTAAGGACTCTTAGTAGAAGGGGGAACATCCCAACCCTACAGCTTAAAGGTTTTTGGGGTTGAGGGCGACCCCTTCTTCAAGGCTTGTTTCTGTTGCCCATTTTTGCTGCTGCAACCCGCCAAGGGCCATGTTTCCCCTAAGCCTGAGACATCAAATCCTAATGGCCTGGCCTAAACCGACCCTGAACCCTGAACAACGTCGCAACGCCAACACCCACACAACAACCACACCCGGAGCCCTCACCCAGAAAAAATCAGCATCAACCTGTCCACCAACCTCAACCCCTCCCAATCAGTTGAGTCGTTTCATGGGGGTTGAGGGTTTAGGGGTTTGGCGTGTAGGGTTTAGCCTTTTTGTTTCCATACAGTCTGGGTTTAGGGTTTAGGGTTTAGGGTTAAGGGTTTAGGGTTTAGGGTTTAGGGTTCTGGGTTTCATCTTTGGCGTCTGCGGTTAGGGTTTCTGTGGGCTATGCTGCACATCGAGTCTCAACCCTCGCCTAGAGCTGAGCCCGAAACCCCAAACCCCTAACCCCATAAACCCTAAACCCTAAACCCTAAACCTAAACCCTAGCTCATCCCTAAACCCTACCCTAAACCCTGTGCCCAAGACCCTAAACCCTCCCGCCAAACTGACGCTAAACCCAAAGCCCTCCTAGCCGAAGAACAGCCCTGAGCCCTGACGTCCGACCCTAAATCCTGAACCCTACTTGGAGGTTCATGGGTACTAAGAGTTATCCGTAGGGGAACTAACTATGTTTAGCCCTAAACCCTAAACCCTATAAACCCTGTGAACCCTATGAACCCTATAAACACTAAACCCTAAATCCTTATTTAGGGGCAACCCTATGAGCCCTAAATCACTACCGGGCTTCCGTCCAGGCACAGGTCTTGTGGGACGAGTACATGGCCAGCACTGTCTGGTGCTTACCACCACAAACGCTGAGATGGCTTAGGGTTTAGGGTTTAGGCTTTCGGGTTTAGGGTTTACGGTTTAAGGTTTAGGGTGTAGGCTTAGGTTTTGGGTTTTGGCTTTAGGGTTTTCGGGTTTAGGGTTTCGCGGGCCCGGGTAGTCAGAAGAATCCCCCTCGATGGGGGAGGTCGGGACATGCCTTCGGGACTTTCCGGCCCCCCTACTCTTAGTCCCAGGGAGAGGCCTAAGTAGGGTTAACAGTATCCCAAGAAGAGTCTCAACAGTAAGGTTATACCGTTATACCCATTCGAGCTGGCCATGAACCTTCAATTCAAGAAGACTTCCAGATCTATAGTTTGCCAAACACACACTTCTCACCTTTTCGACCCTAAACTCACGCATGCTGGGTGGGTAGGGGGAGGAGGGGGGGGGGGGTGGGCGGGGAAGCATCCTAAACGACCCAAAGCACTGAAATCCTAAACCCCTACGCCCTAAATCCTGATAACGAAAGCCCAAAACCTCAACCCTAATCCCTAAGCCCTCGAAAGCCCTAGCAATTGCGGAGGGACATGGACATGGAGCGCTTGGGCCCACGGGTTAGAGCTTCAGGGTTCAGGGTTACCCTCTCCTAGGCAGGATAAGGGGGACCCTTGAAAGGGAACCCTTCTTCCCTCTTCTGGCGATCTTAAGCAGGGACCTTCTTCAGAAGGCCCAAGGGCCCCCCTATTCCTATCCCCTACCCTGAACCCTAAGCCTTAGGGCTTTGGGTTTTGGTTTTGCAGCTCACGGGCCTTTCCCCTCCATGCAACGTTAAGTTCTTCACTTCCTGGGAGTCTTATATTGAATATTCCAGTTATGGTTGAATCTTGCGGTTAGAACATGTCATGAACATGGAGGCGCAAGATTGAGGGCTTTCGATTTTTGGGTTTGGTGTGCAGGACAAGAGTCGTTTGGGTAAACCCTAACAAACAACCCTGAACTGCAAACCCTGTAAATTTTCAAGAGCCCAAATCCCTGAACCATCACCCCAGTGCATGAACCAAGCGGCCCCACCACAACAAAAGGCCGTGAACTACATCAACGACGTGGGCGGTCGCCTCGTCGTCCTTGCTGGCACGAACCACGCCTTTCGGTCGCGATTCAACCGCCGCCCCTAAACCCTAAGCCCTACAGCCCTAAGCCCTAAACCCTAACCCTAAACCCCAATTTGGTGCCTTAACCCCCCTTATCTCTTTCTGGAGATGTCTACTCAAGGCCAAGTTTGTCAGATGTTTAGGGTGCAGAGCCCTAAACCCTAAACCCTAAACCCTAAACCCTAAACCCTAAACCCTAAACCCTAAACCCTAAACCCTAAACCCTAAACCCTAAACCCTAAACCCTATGAAGTCGAAACCGCTTCACCCTCGGGCCGATGAAGAGCACCAGGTCTGGCGTGATGCCATTCCAGACCGCTTCCAGCGTCAGTCGCGAGGAGTTCGGGTTTAGGCTTCAGGGGTCAGGGTTTAGGGCTTGGGGCTCAGGATTTAGTTTTATATATACATGTGTATATATATATATAATCTTGCAGGGGTCATAGGGCAAAAGGCATGTTGATCAAATACCAAATAGTATTTCAGGATCTGGGCCACCAACCCTTCATTACTTCATGTATGCAGTAGCAGCTCGTCGCGGTCATCGTCATAGTCACAGTCACAGTCACAGCAATGAACAGAATGTGATAGTAGGGATAACATTGGCTATGCTGAGAGGGGGTTTAGGGTTTAGGGTTTAGGGTTTAGGGATAATGAGGGTGAAGGCAAGGGGGGGGGGGGGGGGGGGGGGGGGGGGGGGGGGGGGGGGGGGGGGGGGTGCGCGGGTGGCAAGGTGGTGAGGGCCCCCTGGTGCGGTGACGGGGCTGTCTTTTTGCAAGGGGTTTGTATCCGAAACCTCAACCCAAAACCCTAAACCTTGGGATGTTCCCCCTGATATCTAACAGTCCTTATTTGGGATGATAATAGGGGGTACGAAAATCCTGATTAAGGATTGTCAGTATAGGGGGGGAACATCCCCTAAACCCTAAACCCTAAACCCTAAACCCTAAACCCTAAACCCTCCTAATCCCTTTCATCTTTGGGGGATGGTCAAGGTATAGTAATAAGGGACCCCGAATATAGACCCCCAAATAGTAGGATCCCCTTTTAATCAGGAGGACCCCAATAAGGTTATCGTAAATCCCCATTTGGGGGATGGTCAAGGTATAGACATGACCATGTGCCGGAGGATCTGGCAGGCGCGCCATTTCCATAGCATCTCCGAGGCGAAGAAGTGTAGGGTTGAGGGTTGAGGATTTAGGGGAATTAGGAACCTGTGCATCAGCAGAACATCTTAAAGTGAACATGTTTTCAACAGCATAGAAAACTCGAAAACCTATTAAGATGAAGTGTGTCGACATGCAATGTTTGTAAACAAAGCAACTGGATGCCCAGTAGTGCCCTTATTCCCTTTTTGGGGGCTCTAGGTTCCCCTATAAACCCCTTAAAGCAAAAAAGGGCGCCCTTTTTGATCCTAGGTTACTGGGCAGCCTAGACAAGAGTTCTTCCGCAACGGCGCCTCTAACGTTCACGGACTCGACTCTGGTGCTTGAAAAAGCGGACCGAGAAGAGCTCAAAGTTGGTAGCCTAGTGGTGCCTTGTTCCCTTTTTTTGGTTCAAGGTTCCCGCCGACAGCAACCAACCGAACAAAAGGTGCCCTTATTCTCGTCAATGTGGTTACTGGGCTACCAAGGCTATAAAGTTTTCATATTCGGAAGAGGTGATGGTAACAAATATTGGGTTCTTAACTGCTATATACCACCTTAAACCCTAAACCACAATGGCCCATGCCCTAGACCCGGCGGCCCTCTTCACTCTGCGCGTCGCCGAGGTACCCTGGCGAGGGAAGCAGCTTCCACCACCAGGCAGGGCTGATGGGTCCGAGCAGGAGGGTTGTTGAGGGTTTAAGTTTCTAGGGTTCAGGGTTTGAAGGACTTTTCATGATCGATAGCTTGTCCGATAGAAAAAAGGGCTCCAGGGTTTTGAGGGCCTGAAGGGGGGCTTTTGCACAGCTCATAGGGCTTCAAGGTCTAGTGTTCACAGGGGACGTTAGATGAATGCAAGGCATTTGGCTTCAGATGGTAGTCTGTCATTGCGGAGGTGGTTTCTGTGTGGCTTCTGGGCTGTTGGAGTGTTAGGGTGATGTGGGTTCCTTAACTCACACGTGGCCTGGTGGCCCGTCTGCTTGCTTACGTTCTCCTCTACTTGGAGTTTCATGGCACTCATTATCCAATGATAGCTGTACTTACAACTGTACTTATAACCATATTAGGGCACTTAAGGGGCTTACAAGTGGGAAGTACAGGTATATACTTGGTTAACAAGTACCATGAACCTCCAAGTATGCTTGAGTGCCTGGAGTTGCCAGGGCACGAATTTCGGATCCAGCACTTACAGCCTGAGGGTTCTATGTCATGCAGGTGGTTCGCCCCCTACGGCCCCCCCAGTGTCCCCCCTTTACCCCCGCCCCCAACAGCCCCAGGCCCGAGACCCGAAACTAAGACGCTCCACCCTAGCCCCTGAACCCCTACACCGACATTAATAAGTCTGAAACCCGAAGCCCGGGGACCTTTGCACCTGAAGCCCAAGAAGGGGGGGGGGGAGATGGGGAAGGAGGGCCTGGCCCACATCCCAAGCTTTTGGCTGAGGCCTTGCTGATTACGTGCTGCCAATGGATGGACCCGGTGGGGGCTCCGAAATCGCTGCAGCTGCTCGGCGCGCAGGGTTTTGAATTGGAGTTGGGAGTGTCAGCAATGATTGCGGTTACAACCACACGACCTTGACTGACCTTGACACAACACCGCACGACGTGGAGGAGGAGGAGAGGAGGAGGAGGACGGGGAGCAGGAGCAGGAGCGGGAGCGGGAGCAGGAGCAGGAGCAGGACGACGAAGACGACGAGGACATGAGGAGAGCGCCATGGTGAAAACATGAAAAGAGCACGACGCCACAATGACGTGACGCGGTGATGGCCAAGCGAAAGAATCGGTCTCAGCGGATCTCAAAACTGAGCAAGATGCAAAGACAGCACACTTGCATGGGAATAATATAACATATATATAATATGTATATATATGTATATATGTATAGTATTCATATTTGTCTATTTGAGGCAGAGGTTTTTGGCAAATGACTATTGCATGGCTGCAGAGTGTGCGCATGTACAGAGCATGCCATGCCTACGCAAGTATATGGAGTCACGATGACAAGGGACCCCTGGTTTAGAGCCCCAAGTACTAGGCTTGGTAGCCCTGTCCTTTTTTTGGGGTTCAAGCTTCCCTTATAAAGTACCTTATGATAAGGCGGCCCCTCTTATGTAGGGTACCCAACCAGGGACCATGATCTAGAGAACTGATCCTATCTGCTTTAGGGTTTAGGGTTTAGGGCTTTAGGGCTTTAGGGTTTAGGGCTTTAGGGTTTAGGGTTTAGGGTTTAGGGTTTAGGGTTCTGATTCAGGAGCTGCGCGACCAGCGAGAGCGCCTGAGGGGCCGTTCGCGTGTCTTCCCGGCAGGCTATGTATGATCTCCCGAAAAGGGCGCACGCGACCTAAGGAGCCGTCGACTTGGGGTTCGGGGTTTAGGGTTTAGGGTTTAGGGTTTATAGGGTTTAGGGTTTAGGGTTTAGGGTTTAGGGTTTGGGATTTTTGCGGTTTAGACGCTTGGTCAGCTCACGGAGCTTTGTGGGGTGTAGGGTGCCGGGTTTTTCTAGAGTCCTCAGGAGAGGGGGGGTTCAAGGGGGGTTATGTAACCCAAGGTTCCCTAATACTCGCCACTCCTAGGGCTCTCGAAGCTTTAGTAAGGCTCCCTAGGTAACCTAGGTACCGACCCCCCCATATGAGCCGCCCTCCCTTAAGAGCCCTGTAAGGTTTGCTTCCTGGATCGGAGCGCTTTTCAATTGCCCAAGGCTCCACATGTACATATTAAACCCCTATCTAGGGTATAGGTCTTCGGCTTTTTGTGGCTCAGGGCTCTATACCCCACTCAAGCCTGAGTTGAAAGCCCTGTGCAAATAGGGTTTAGGGTTTAGGGCTTAGGGCTTGGGCTTAGGGCTTAGGCCTTGGGCTTAGGGCTTAGGGCTTATGGTTTAGGGGTTTCAGGTTTTCGGATGCAGGGCCCTTTCGCGGTGTTTTGGTCGATGGCTTCTCGGACATATCGACGTCTGTTTCAGGTCGTCAGTGTAGAGGCAGCATGAAGCCGAAACCCGAAACCCAGTTTGTGGATTCCAGGTCCGAAGTCGATGTTGGGCTTTCAGGTCTCAGCCGCGACATGCGGGATGTCGGCGCGGTGGGGATGGCTGCGGTTTCGGGTTTAGGCTTTGTGGTGCTTTACTGTAACTTTACATCTTAAGCCTTTTTGGGTTTATTGGGTTTCTTAACAAGGCAGCTAAAAGTTTGATTTTTTGCTACCCTCCTAAGTGCAGCCAAGTAGGGTTTAGGGTTTAAGGTTTAGGGCTTAGGGTTTAGGGTTGGGGTTTAGCGCTTTTGGGTTTGCAGGGCAGTCAGATGTAAAGCTCGGATGATCGGATAGCTTCGGGTCGAGTGGCAGCCCATGGCCCTGTACCAAAGCCGCCGGCTGCGTGCGCACGCTCGCAAATACCATTGTCATGCCCACAAGTCGCTGGTGATACTTGGCTGCAGGCTGCGTTCTACGAGGCTGCGACGTAGGAACACACGGGCCCTAAACCCTAAACCCTAAACCTTATAAACCCTAAACCCTAAACCCTAAGCCCTAAACCCTAAACCCTAAACCTTAGCCTAAACCTAAACCCTACACGCTAAACCCTAAACCCTATAAACCCTAAACCCCTATAAACCCTAAACCCTTAACTCACCAAACCAGCATGGCGCAGATGTGCAGCGAAGGATCAGCCGGTACGCGCAGAGAGCCGACAGCTTCGACAAAGCGGCCCTGCGAAAGCACGGGGCCCATGTGGCTGCTTGGATCGCCTATGGCCACCACTATGGGCCGAAGGGGTGGACTCCGGGCATCGAGGAACTGCGGCTCTTGAGGAAGTTCATCGGAAAGATGGGTGGGGGACTTCTGCCCTCTCGCTTGAGGGAGGTGCTGCCGGAGACGCAGGCTGCGCTACAGCGGGCCGAGGCAAGGGGGCAGGCCTGCGAGAACTGGAAAGAGGCGGAGCAAGAGCTGAAGAAGAGTCTTCAGAAGTTCAGCTGCTGCCGAAACTCGGCGGACAAAGCCGCCGCCAGCCATGACACCATCCTGCAAGGCGTGGTCGCTGTTGCCGACGACGACTGCTCCGGCTCGGGTGAGGTGCAACCTGCTGGCGAACAAGTCACTCAGGTAGACTCAGATGTGGATGCGGCGGACCCTGCATTTTCGGTCGCATCCGACCAGCACCTACAACTTGTCAGCAAGATGAATGAGTGGGGCTTTTTGAGCGATGCTCAGAGGCTGGCTCGGCTCCAGCAGGCGGAGGAGGCAGCCAGGTGCCCGCTGAGGCGCCTGAGCCAAGCTCAGCTGGCTGAGGTCGTCAACACAGCGGCAGCAGCTCTTGCGGCTCCGCGTAGACAGGCTTGGGTAGCCAGTGGTACCCTTTACCCCTCTTTTTGGGTTCAAGGTGTCCTTGTACAGTAACCAACCCAAAGAGGGGTGCCCTGATTATAAGATGGTTCCTGGGCTAGCAAGCAGGCGCGGCAACAAGAGCCAGACTCGGGAGGATCAGGTGAGGCAAGGGCGGAGGTCGAGCAATCGAGTCCGAAAGCTGATCTGCAGAGGCGGGTGCGGAAGCTGCTGCTGGACGCTCTGCACTTGTGGCGAGTGAAGAGGTATGAGTGCGTTGCGATCGAGCACGTGCTGGACTTCGTCCAGGGGAAGATCGAGAAGTTTGAAAGCAACGTGGGCGAGATTCAGGGCGCTGCTGCCGGGGCCATGTGGTCTTCCATCAAGCTGGCCGTCGATGAGATGCTGCACTGTGCCGAGGAACAAACTGGCGTTGGCAACCTTACGATGGGTGCTAGGCCAGCCAGGGGCCCAGCCACGAGACTTGGTAGCCCAGAGGTACCCTTTTGCCTTTTTTTTTGGGGTTTCAAGGTTCCCTTGTAAAGTAACCAACCCAAAAAAGGGTGCCCTTATTATAGTATGGTTACTGGGCTACTAAGGAGACAAGAGCGCCAAAGTGGTGTCCAAGGTATCGTCTGGAAGAGGCAATCGCTCGGCTGGGTGGTCTCATGGCACGATGACAACGAACTCAAAAAGTCCTTGCACTTCCCCGTCTCCAGGTTCTTGAAGCAACCGGGTGGGTGTTTTGGGATAATCGCTATTTTCCTTCTTTCCTTGCAAAGGAACCTACCCTAAACCCTAAACCCTAAGCCCTAAACCCTAAACCCTAAACCCTAAACCCTAAACCCTAAACCCTAAACCCTAAACCCTAAATAAGTAACTTTCAAAGGATTTGAAGCACAACTCAGGCAAGGCCTCAGTGAGGAAGCAGCTGCAGAGGCATCCCTGGACCAGGCCAAGGCTTTCCGCGAAGAGCCCTGGCAGCCCAGCGGAACCCTTTTAGGGTTTAGGGTTTAGGGTTTAGGCTTTAGGCTTTAGGCTTTAGGCTTTAGGGTTTAGGGTTTAGGGTTTAGGGTTTAGGGTCCAGGCTCCCTTCTAGAGTATCCAAACCCAAAAACTGTTGTTTATGACTTGGTTCTTCCTGAATTGTAGAGTAACCAAACCCCGAAAAGGGCGCCCCTTCATGGTTGCTGTGCTAGCAAGGAGCTCGTGCGCCAGGGAAAGTTGCAGCCTGCGAAGCCCAGCGTTGCTGTCCGGTCCTTGGTGAGGGGTGTGGCCTTTTGCAAGGACTCACAGAACCTTGGGTTTCAATTTGGGGTCGTAAAGCCCTATACTACCAGAGTTCCTACTATAAGGTATATGAACCATAAACCCTTTTAGGGTTCCTTTGCTCCCCAAGGAAGTGGAGGGTGAAGTTTCCAGATCCATCTCGCAAGAGGAAGGAAATCTCCTGCGGCTATTTTGGTACACAGGAGGAAGCTGAAGAAAAGGCACGGGAGATGGCTCGAAAGTTCGGTGTGCCAGCTGAGACTGTGGTGGTGCCCGCGCAAAAGCTCTCGGAGCTGCCACACTTCGAGCCCCTTGGCCCGCAGAAGGGGGTGAAGTGGGTTGTTGGTGAGCAGGCGTGGCGCGCAAGGTGCGCGACTGGCAGTGGCAGGGAGACGCTCAAGAGGTTCCCGCCCCTGGACTCCTCGAAGGAGGAGGTGAGGAAGGCCTGGGACAGTGCCGTGGCATGGCGCCAACAGCAAGAGAAGGAACAAATGTATGCAAAGGCTGGCGAGAAGCACGCCGGACAAAACAGCAACTTTGCCAGCCTTTGGTTGTTGAGGGGTTTCAGGGTTTTGAGGGTTTAGGGTCAAGGGTTATAGGGTCTAAAGTTTAAGGTTAGTTTAGGCTTGCTTGTGGGTTTGCGGTGCTGGGAGTGAATGTGAAGCTCACGTGCCTTTTTCGAGCATTTTGGACTTAGGGATTAGGTGTGTGGGTCCCGTTGTAGTGGTGGACTTTGGTACCACCCAAACCCAAGTTAGTGCCCTAAACCCCAAGCCCTAAACCCTAATCCCGAAACCCTAAACCCGAAACCCTAAACCCCAAACTTAAACCCTACACCCTAGTTGGGGTTGGAGCTTCCAATTGCGGCATTGGTGCTTATAGGGGTCCAATCAGGGGGTGTTGGGGGTCCAAGTCTGCCAACCCTAAACCCTAAACCCTAAACCCTAAACCCCATGAAAGCCAAGCCCCAGGCCTTCAGCATGGACAATCGGGGGATCTTTGGTGCTGATGGGTGGGGTTTAGGGTTTAGGGTTTAGGGTTTAGGGTTTAGGGTTTAGGGTTTAGGGTTTAGGGTTTAGGGTTGATAGGGTTGATAGGGTTGATAGGGTTTATAGGGTTTATAGGGTTTATAGGGTTTATAGGGGTTGATAGGGTTTATAGGGTTTATTGGGTTTATAGGGTTTATAGGGGTTTATAGGGGTTGATAGGGTTTATAGGGTTTATAGGGTTTATAGGGTTTATAGGGTTTATGGGGTTTATAGGGTTTACAGGGTTTATAGGGTTTATAGGGTTTATAGGGTTTATGGGTTTATAGGGTTTATAGGGTTTAGTGTGGTTTAGGGTTTAGGGTTCAGGGTAAGAACCACCTTCAAATATGATGTTTCGTACCGCTGGGAGGGGACGGTTGAGCGTGTGTGGGTTCTGGAACTGAAGCCAGTGTCGATGGGTTTCGGGTGGCACACCACGGGTGCTGCAAGAACTGATGCCTTCCGCTTGCTTGGTAGCCCAGTGGTACCCTTTACCCTTTTTTGGCGTTCTGGGTTCCCCCTTATAAAGTAACCAACCCCAAAAAGGGTGCCCTTATTTTAGAATATGGTTGCTGGGCTGCTAAGGTTTCGGCTTGGGGATCATAAGTTCTGACAGTTCTGGCTTAGGCTTTGGAGGTTTCGTCCTGGAGTCCTGCATGACTTTTGAATCTTGGAGTTGCTCTCCGCGGCTTTTAGCTTGTCAAGAGCAAGTCCGAAAAACAACGTCGGATGAGAATGTCATTCGATCAGCAGGCGAGCTCCTGAGTTCTCTGCTCCTGCATGGTTTGACTCGGGTTTGAGGTTTGGGGTTTGGGGTTTGGGGTTTGGGGTTTAGGGTTCCCATCGAACTACCCCCTACTCAACATGGTCCTGAACGAGGGTCTACATGGCCCGTTATTACCGAGGCAGAAGCAGGACATGCAACTTTTCTTAGACTAGAGTATGCCATGTTATTCGTATGTTGTGGTATGGTGTAAGGTGTTCTAGTACTTGTTCCACGGTAGAGGTTAAGCATGTAACCTTTGACAACTTGGGGCATTTTGGTACAATCCCTACAAAACCCCCAATGGTTAGCGTTTAAGGTTGAGTTCCTCTAGGAAAGCGGATAGGTAGGCCTCATCCCCCCCCGCATCCCCCCCGCATCCCCCCCCATCCCCCCCCCATCCCCCCCCATCCCTCCCCCATCCCCCCCCATCCCCCCCCCATCCCCCCCAATCCCCCCAACCCGAAAACCCAGCAGGCTCAGAAAGGTGCAGCCAAAGCTGTCCGTGGTTAGTGGCTAGGGCGTAGGGTTTGCAGGGTGTTTTGCATGGGCTCAGCCATCTCCTGTTTCTTGAAACCCTAAACCCTAGACCCTAAACCCTAAACCCTAAACCCTAAACCCTAGACCCTAAACCCTAAACCCTAAACCCTAAACCCTACATCGGGTGGGTCTTGGATGCCAGGGCCATCATCGGCAACACCTGGACCATGGAGCCACGGCCATCATGCTGAGGCGAGGCACTCTCCTCCTTCTTTAGGGTTTAGGGTTTAGGGTTTAGGGTTTAGGGTTCAGCATCTCTGGTCCAAGCATTCACTAGTTCAGCAGCTTTCAAGGCCACAGGGGAATACCCACCCGCCCATTCGATCCCACACCATTAGGAAAAATATCCAACCTCCTTCTTCCCCATACGTTTTCTGGAGGCCCCTAAGGCCCTTCAAAAGACTCAAGATGGCTCCCAAGAATAAGTTCCCGAATGACCGCGCCTGTTTTGGAGGCCCCAAGGGCCCTTCAAAAAACTCAAGATGGCTCCCAAGAATAAGTTCCCGAATGACCGCGCCTGTTTTGGAGGCCCCAAGGGCCCTTCAAAAAACTCAAGATGGCTCCCAAGAATAAGTTCCCGAATGACCGCGCCTGTTTTGGAGGCCCCAAGGGCCCTTCAAAAAACTCAAGATGGCTCCCAAGAATAAGTTCCCGAATGACCGCGCCTGTTTTGGAGGCCCAGGGCCTGAAGGGTTTCCCCAAACCCTTCAGGGCCTGAAGGACTACCCCAAGTCCGAAGCTGTAAAACCCCTATATAAATCCTCCTAAACCTTAAACCCCTTGACAAAATTTGCTGCAAACGATGCCGCCGTGTTGTCAGAAGCAAAACACCAGGCGTCGATAGCAGCAGATTTTGCCCACACCCTTTGTGGGCAAAATTTGCTGCAATCGACGCCGCCGTGTTTTCAGAAGCAAAACACCAGGCGTCGATAGCAGCAGATTTTGCCCACACCCTTTGTGGGCAAAATTTGCTACAATCGACGCCGCCGTGTTTTCAAAAGCAAAACACCAGGCATCGGTGGCAGCAGATTTTGTCCACACCCTTTCCCTCTCCTACTGAAAAAAACTTAAATGTTAAGCACACTCGTGGTTTTAGGCACGCCCCCGCCCGTGAAAATCCTAAACCCTAGGGCTCCGACCCCAACGGGCACAAAACCAGTGAAAAACCTGAACCTAGGCCCCCGACGCCAGTGAAAAACCTGAACCCTGGGGCCTCGGGGCACAAAACCAGTGAAAAACCTGAACCCTGAAGCCCCGACGCCAGTGAAAAACCTGAACCCTGGGGCCTCGGGGCACAAAAGTGAAAAACCTGAATGCTGGGCCCCGACGCCAGTGAAAAACCTGAACCCTATAGGGCCCCGACCCCAACGGGCACAAAACCAAGGGCCTGGAGACCGTGAAACTCGTGGATTTAGGCAAGGGACGGGGTCCCCACGGGCACAAAACCAGTGAAAAACCTGAACCTAGGCCCCCGACGCCAGTGAAAAACCTGAACCCTGGGGCCTCGGGGCACAAAACCAGTGAAAAACCTGAACTTGGGGCCCCGACGCCAGTGAAAAACCTGAACCCTAGGGCCTCGAGGCCAATCCACGATTTTCACGGCCTCGAGGGGCCAGGGTTCAGGTTTTTCACTGGCGTCGGGGGGCCAGGGTTCAGGTTTTTCACTGGTGTTGTGTTCGTTGGGACCACACGACCCCAGTGAAAAACCTGAACCCTGGCCCCTCGAGGCCGTCGAAGCCCGTACCTTTCCTAAATCCACGAAGGTTTGTGCCCAAATCCACGAAGGTTTGTGCCCAAATCCACGAAGGGGTTTAACATTTAAATATATATATATGGTAGGAGAGGTTTAGGGTTTAGGGTTTAGGGTTTAGGGTTTAGGGTTTAGGGTTCAGGGTTTAGGGTTTAGGGTTTAGTGGTTACTTCTCCTTTCACTGTTTCTTTCCCTCTCTCTCTCTATATATATCCTTCCCCCTGTGCCTCCCTCATACCTGTCTGACTTCTTAGCACACCTCAGCCTTAGCCCCACATTATGAGCAAGCGCCAAACCCCCCAACCATTCAAGTAAGCAAGGGGTGGACACGAATGCCCAAAATCCTGTAAAGCGATGGGAACACCTGACAAGCGACACCCCAAAGTTAAAGATGGGTCTTGGTGGGTTATAACCTTGAATTGTCCCAAAGCGACACCTTCAGACATACAGCATGGACACCTGATGCTAAAACCCTGTAAAGCGGCGGGAACACTTGAAAAGCCTTACCCCTCATGTTACGTCCATTAGCACCGCCGGCCGGTTTTGGCAGTCGCTCATATCGAGGTTTTGTGTGGCGCACGTGGGCGAGTGGAGTCTTGAAGATGTTGAAGAATCGTCTTACCCTTCTTATACTGGGGTTTAGGTCTAGGGTTTCAACTCCGCGTTTGAGGGCTCTAAGACTTGAACCATCTTGAACCCTAAACCCCAAACAGGGTTTAGGGTTTAGGGTCTAGGGTTTAGGGTTTAGGGCTGAGCCACTGTTGCATAGGCGCCTGCCATCGAAGCTAATGGTCGAAGCCTTCCTGGACATTTTGGACCAGTTTTGGCCAGGCCTGGTCGCATCGAGACTTGGGGGTTCAGGGTTTGTTTCAAGAGCCTTGGGGGTCCCTAACCCTAAACCCTAAACCCTGAACCCTAAACCTCAAATTCGAGGGCTTTCGCCCCGACTTCTGAGGAAGTTGAGGAGTCTGGGTTTCGGGGGAGTTGTCGCTGCTCAGACTTTCCGAGCCATCCGAACGATCAAGTGAACCCTAAACCCTCAACCACCCTAAACCCTAAACCCTAAACCCTAAACCCTAAACCCTCAACCACCCTAAACCCTAAACCCTAAACCTTCAACCTTAAACCTACAGACCCTGAGCTCGAACTGGTGTGCTCCCACTACAGAGTTGCTTTGTCAGCGAATTACCTGTGGATCGTTGTTATATGAATCTAATCTTACTTCGGGCACCCAAATCGCATTTAGGTTAGGGTTTAGGGTTTAAGGTTTAGGGGGGCCCTGAGAAATGTAAAGTCGCGGGCTGCCTCCTTAGCTACAACACCCTAGCCCCTGAAATCTCTCTAGACTTTAGGGATGTTTAGGGTGTGGAGGCTTCAGGTTTTGGGAATGAGGGCTTGGGGCTTGGGGGGTTTAGGGGGCTTAGCGGGTTTAGGGGGTTTAGGGGGTTTAGCGAGTTTAGGGAGTTTAGGGGTGGGTCTAGGGGTTTTGGGGTTTCCCAACGT